GACTTCAGTTTTTTATTCTTCTGTATTGAGCAAAGACACTTTGAATAGGACTCAAACACAGCTGAAAAATACTGAAAATTATACTCACATTAACTTCTCAATGAAATTATAGAGTAAGAGCTAGTACCCAAAGGCTGGTCTGTGTATTATGGATTTTACAAGATCGAAGACTTGACATTCTACCAGAACACACAGTTTTAAATTATTGCCCAAAAGTTCCTGCCAGATGCTCCTCACTATTTTGTTGTATTAGATGAAAGAAAATAAATTTGTAAAATGTATTTTAAAATTTTCTCTGACTTCTTATAAGTATCTAGGTTGTGAGATTAAGTGTCTACATGAGAAATTTCACTTCTCAGCTTTGTACTTCATTCAGAATAATATATGCATCTATTCAGGTTGCTATTGAGGTTGTTTCAGTCCAGATTGCAAATGCTGAACTTGAGATCGTAATATGGCTGTGTAGGATGGACGCATCCAGCCAAGTAAACCAAAATGACAGCAATATCTGCGACTTTTGGGATTTGACAAACAGCTCATCAAATCTCTGTTTGTGTTGAAATACAGATCTGATCTTGAGAAAAAGACAAGCATCGGCTGGTGATGCAGATATAGGTTTGATCTAAAATTAACTATGTCAGAGATAGCCTGAGAGACTGTTCTCTCAGGTCTGCTGGCTGCTCTCTGCATGCTGTGAAGGAAAAGTAATAGAGAGTTGAAGGTAAGACGAGGTGATTACATTTGAAATCTTTTCCTCCTGTTTAATTGGTTTAGCACAGCTTTTCACTTTCTTTTTTGTCTGCCCTGCAGCTGGCCTTGATGTCTTTGCAACTGAGTTGGTTCCCACCACAAGGACAGCACCACAGACCGCAGAAACTGCTCTGAGTGTTGTTCTGATAATGGAATCTAAGGAGACAAAGTAACTTGTGAAGTTTATGTGTGATTGAGCAGAAAGCAAGCACCCTGGCACTCCAATGGTTTTGTTTGTGAAAATAAAAATAACAATACCCTCGTGAAAAATAATCTAGAAATGGATTTGTCTGTGAATTTGCAGTCTTTAATTTTAGTAACAGTGACAATCTCACATGGAATGTGCACCAGTGACAGAAGTGCTGAAACACTATTTTTTTCTGGTGAGAACATATATGTTCACTTCCATGTGAGTCTACCAGAAGATTAAGCCCCGCTTATCTGATCCGTCTTCTGAGCCATATATTCATAAGCATGTTTAAGAAATTAATTTCACATCTTTACATAGAATGAAGGCTTCATAAGGTGTATTAGGAGTGTTACTGACATTGGGAAGATAGATGAAAGAGTGGTTTATCATACTGGCAAACAGCATATACAAAGATTTGCCCATGTCAGGTATACTCATACCAGTAGGATCTTCCAGAAATTCAGGACTGAGTGTTGTGAGACTAAAAATAATCAGTTGTACATTTCCTGAGATCCCTTCTGCTGTGAAATGATCTCCACTTTGAAAAGGAATTAGTAAGAACTGGTTCAAGATAGGAAATCTGGAGTATACCTACTAAGCCTGTGAGAATTCCAGTTGTTCTCAAGCTGAAGAAACTTTTCAGTTTATCATTAGCTAAAGTTATACATGTGCTGCTGTCCCCAAAGCTACAGGGACATGACTTCTCTGTGGAATATAAATAAGGGAGGAAATATGGATTTCTTCAGTAGGGTGATAAACAGATCAATACAACATGAAAGAGATATCGATGGGTATGAAATTTATGTAGTGAAGCATACTCCTTTTATAATTTCAAAATTAAGACAATTTCACACTGGAACTTACATACAGAGATTTTATTTAGCCTGCACTGAAATTTCACAATGATGGTCAGAAGAAGACAGAGATATACAGAGGAAGCTGGTACCATGTCAGCACTTTGAGGAAGAAATTAAGGTGGGCATTTTACTAAAAGAAGAAAGAGTAGTTATCTCAGCAGCACAGAGAAAGGGAGAAACTGCTGACATGCAAGCTAGCCATCCAGTAAAAGAAAGATGTAATCAAGTGAGAAGTGGTATTTTATACCACTTGGAAGGATCATTCAGATAAGATACAGGGCAGTTCAATATGATACACATATCTGCTTCCAAAAAGAATAAACAAAGATCTGATACATAGCAATGAATCCCTGCACAAATCATAGCAAAATCTGGAGAGGGGAGCTTTCTCTGAATATGACAGATAAATGTATTTATGGGAAACTGAATTATATTCTAAAGTCACAAGGCTGCCAAAACATTCCAAGAATGCTGATTTCTGACATTAAATCACAGCCTGCAAGGCAGGAAAGCCAGAGGGTTCTGGGGATGGATGAGGATCACCGATATTCAGGCAGAGCTGCAGATATGCAGTGAGATCTTCTGATGCAAGCATAGCATTTCCTTGTCAAGGTATCCTCAGAGAAGTGAGAAAGATGAAGAGAATAATATCATTGAAATAAAACAATCCAAAATTCAGATTTACTACCGTGTAGACCTGAAAGATGAATATGAGTTTTACTTTGCAAGAGACCTCCAAATACTAGATGTACACGCAAAAATGCAGGAAAAAGAAGATGGAAATCTCCTCCTGCCAGATACACCAAACCTCTTCGTACATCACACTATTGAGATAAGCTTTTCCAAGCACTGCAGAATAAAGTCTGTTTTACACTGGGTTCATTTATTTTGTACTCCTGCGTGCCCCTCAGCAATAGCCCTAATTGTTCCTGAGCTCTGTGTTTGGTCCAGAAACCAGCTGGCTCCAAGATATTTGCTGACAAACAGAATATGCAGTGGTTCAATTTCTCCTGTCTCTCCCTTGGGTTTCTCCTGCCAAGCACATGACATATAGATATATAATTATATTTGAGACATCCACCATACTTTTAATACCAATGATACCAGATCTGCTTCCTGCTTAGACAATAATTGATGGGAGATGAATTAACACACAAACAGCTTAAGGAAGGGGATGAAAACAACATTGGTTCATCCTGAATATTTTAATATCAGCCTCCGTTCCTCCTGTTAATTAAGAATGCAAAGGATTATTAGGAACATGGGGAATAGGAATTGATTCTGCAGATTCCTGACTGAAGGAAGAGAAACAATAGCCTATTTTGCAAATTCTTGGATTCTTGGAACAGACTGTAGGAACAGCAGTGAAAATGCTTACTATATAACTGCATAAGTATATGGAAAGCCATAATAAGTGCCAACAGTTTGTGTTTGGCTTTTCACATTCTTGCCAAAGATCATTTTTCACTCCAAGGACATTACTTGAAAAAGGCTGACTGTGAATGTTAAGTCTCTACAGCTACTGTTTAGAGGAACAGGCAGAGTAGGAAAGAAAGAGTTTAATACAAGCTGTTGATGCCCCGACTGTTACTCCTACAGAAATTAAGGAATTTTGTAGTGGGATGCATACATCATCCTATCACCCTTTCATAACATTCTTGACTGACCAAGAACTTGTTCCAATAAGACTTTATGCTGCTTATCTTCCAGCTACACTAAGGACTGTTGCAACTTACAGGAACTTTCAGGACACCAAATACCACGTTATTTATCATAAATTACCATTCTAGTGCCCACAAGCCATTATTCTCTCTCTCTTTTCTTTTTTTTTTTCTTTCTGACAGTTGACACAGTTTCTTTAAGAATGTTTAACTGCAGAAGGCTCTTCTGTTATTCCTGAATTACCCAAAAAATAAAAAGATCCAAGACTTACCAGATGAGTCCCCCACTAGAATAAAGGAAGTTCATGACTGGTTAATATTATACAATGGAGAGCAATCTGTTATTTAAAATTTCAGCCACTGGTAGTTTGTATTTATAAAGATCTCTGAATTCTGATTTGATGAGAACCAGTCTCAGGCAGATTTTGTAGAGATGATGTATGCACTTCTAGATGTCTTGAGGTACATCACAGAGCTAAGCCTTTTATTTCAAGAGCTGGAATTTGACATTGCAATTGTACAGGTGTTAGTAAATCATTCTCTGTCATCTCCAGAGAGAAGTAAAGATGACAGCCATCATGGAATAGGAAACAGTTGACCTTACATTATACACAATGAATGCAAACTGCACTGAAAATCAGTTAAGTGGTGCAGGGGATATTTCTCATTCTCTTCTTTTAAAAAGGAATTGTAAGTCCCTGGAAAAAAAAAGGAAGGAAGAAAAAAAAAAAAAAGAGTAGAAAAAATGAGATTTCAAACTGTATAATATCAGAAAATAGAGTAATGTACCCACATACACTGCAGAATGAAATATAAAATCAATTTGAAGCTCCCTAAGTTTGGACAGAAGGAAGAAAGGTGAAGTGACATAGCTATGGGTGTCTGGATGATAGAAAATGGGACAGAAATGAGAAATGAAGGACACCATTCCTCTCAGAGTCTGAAAATGCAATTCCTCACCCTGGGAAAATATCTACACAGCTTAAAAAGCAAAACCAACATAAATTGCAAATAGAGATCAAGTATTACTATCACGTGTTTTTGTGCTGAAAACTCTCCCTGCATGAACACTGAAGCATTCTGTTGTAGCTGGGCCTGACACTGAAATATGTCTGGGATCTGATTTTGAAAGTTTAACCCATGCTTCTTTGGTGAAATAAAGAGCAGGCATCCTCTCCTGCAAAGCAGTGTCACCTTTGCATTCCAGTGACCAGTTCAGCACAAAATCCACATACAAATAAATCAGGAAAGCCAACCCATAGGGAAAAATAATGTGAGGCAGGGCACCTGTGGAAGCTCTTGGACACTCAGGGTATCCCACGCGATGGGATCAGGGTGGCAGGGTGCCATTCTCAGAAGAGCATAGCAACTTCATAATGTCAACCCCTGATAAGAACCCACCTGAGACCAAGTAATGTCAAACTCCAAATGGCAGCGCCTCATGGTGGACCCTTCACAGTCCTGTCAGCTCTCCAATTTCATTTAGGTTATGCTGCGCTGCCACTGCATCAACCTCCGAACAACACAACCAGTTCCACTCACCTGCCCTCACAGCTCTGGTTGGAATGCATTTCCTCCACCTGACGTGCTGGGGAGTGGGGTCCTAAAGACAAAATTGCAGCAGGGCAAGCTCCCTGTGGGAAGGGTCAGACCACTGCCTCATTGAGCCTCCTGCGCTCACCTCTTCTGAAACCACTCCTTTGCTTCACAAAATTCTCAGTCTCTTCCAGAAAAGATGTGCAGAGAAAGTAGGGGCAGACTTCATTGCAGCTGCAGATGAAGTTTCATTGTTGTTTTTTCCCTCTTTGTGCTGGTGTTGAAGTAGGTCTCTTTGAAAAACACCTCAAATGAGATGCGACTGGCTGCCCCCTGCCCTACTGAGTGGCTTGAAGATTACTTCTGTGCACAGGATTTTCACTCTGCAGATAGCAAGGAAGTGTCTTTTCATTGCCTACCCTGCAACAAAGCGACTGAAATAACGCCGCTGTTCTTGCTGCCCTTGTAGCTGGTGAGTGACGTTGGATTGAAGCAGCTCTGCTCTCCTGCCTATTGAGCGTGCTGGGCCAGAATTAAATGAGCTCGGCTGGTTTGGTGTTGAGGGCTACTTTCCCATCTATGAGGAAAATAGAAGGATATTTTGAGAGACACTACACAGGTGTACTTTAATAATTCAAGCTAAGAAAGAAACTCTTTGAAGATTCAAGAGTGGGTAGGTATTTTGAAATGGACTTGGTTAGGCTATTGCAAATCTGCTGATCAAACCAGGCACAGCAAGAGAGTAGTTCCAAATAAAATGAGATTAGAAGTAGCTGCTGCTTCTTAGTAAATGAGTTTCTACAAAAAAAGTAATTGTCATCTGTTTGCTGCTGCTTTCCTACGGAGAGGAAAACATGGCAGTATTATGGTACAAAGCAAAAAAACATTTCCAGATCTAGTTGAGGGGTTGATAGCAAGCTTTGTGCAGCTGATTGGCATAGGCAAAGAAGAACATGTTCAGCGCTGTATTGGCAAAGGATATGCAATTAATGACTTACAATTCAGACTCAGCCTCCTGAGCACAATTTACTTGGCTTGCCACCTCATGCTCACGTTTTCTTCCTGAGAACCCCTTGGGTGGCCCACATTATGGCATGAGGAGGTGTTACCTGTACATTTGCCCTTGGGTTAAGCTCTCCTATCAACCTGGCTGACAGCAGCTATTTAATTATTTTGGGGAATAAATGAATTGAAGATAATCAAACAAGCTGGTAGCTGAAATGTTCTCTTCTGTTAAAAAAACATAAAAACTCGTGTGTTTCAGCACTTGTGAACATAAAGCATCTCTGAAGAACAAACACAAGTAGGTCATAACAGCATGTGAGTATTAGTTGATGGATGCTCACATCTCACAGATGTCCAGTTTTAAAAGTATCTCAAAAAGTGCAAAGTCTGCAAGGCACTGTGGAAAGTGAATTGATTTCTTGTCTCTAAAGGAAGTTCTGCCACATGGCAGCTGAGGAGCAAAATGTAGGCCCCTGCAGCTCCTCCTGTGCCTAAAGGGCGCAATCGCAACTCCCATATTCCTGTGCTGCTGATGGTGGTGTGGGCAGAGGTGGCCTTCTGCTGTAAATGCTGTGCTACCCCTCCTGTGGCCCTGCGAGAGCTGGAAGCACTGTACAATGCAATCTTCCCTCGGACTGCCCCATTCTGCCTCCCAGGCCAGGCTCAGGGAGCTGGTGATGATATCGCTGCCCAGACATTTGCTGCGTGGAGACTTTTTATACAGGAAGCATTTTGGCAGCCGCTACCACAGTCCCCTCAGGAGCAAGCTGCAGCTCTGTCTGCAGTTCCAAAGCCACCCATGTTTCCATCCCCTCCAGGTCTCAACACAAGCTCAATTCACTGTCTAACCTGTATTTGTGCTTTTGTGTTTTCGGACCTACTGTGGTGCCTCAGCGCAGCCCACAGCCCGAGGGCGATGGCAAACGCCCCCCTGCGCCCGAGGGCGGGCGGAATGGCGGCAGGGGCAGCGGGGCGCCGCGCGCGGGCCGGACGGCGGGGAGGCGGTGCTGGAAGGCTGCTCCCGGCTGTCCGCCTCAGCGCGGCCGCAGGGCGTAATCTCGCAGCGGGTGCTTTCTTTAAGGTAAGCGCGGCAAACGGCCGGCTCGATCTCATTTCCGAGCGTCTTTCACTCTTCCGACAGAAACAACGCGGTGCGCAGATCTGAGGTCACCAGGACTGACTGACGTCCCAAGGAAAGTGTCTGCCCACGGCGTTGTCTGTTAACAGCAGCAGTCGTGGCTGCTCCTGTCGGTCTTGCATCTCCATGCCCGCACTGTGCTGGCCGGTGCTGACCCTGAGCTCTGGAGGCGTCACAGTGTGGAATAGACCAGTGCATTAGCCAAGGAACTGTACAAATAAATAAATCTCAATCTATCCTTGTGCAAATCCACATCAAATTCATGTGCAAATCCACATCGAATTTCCTCAAGGCAGCAGAGCTCTGCCCACAGGCCCACGTGCTGCTTGTGCCAGCCTTGCCCCAGCTGCACCCATGTCTCTTCCACACAGCCTTTGTGCTGCAGTTCTCCCTGCTCCAGAGCTCCCGGTTCTGTAAGCTGGATGTGTGTGCACGTCTTTATCTACCCATATCCATATAGCAATCTCAGATAAATCTGATGGGATGTCCTTTTCTCTTGTTCCTTAAAGCTTTTCTGAAGGCCAAGGCCATGCTGCTGCCTTTGTTCCTCAGAAAGAGAATGTCATGTGTACTCTGTATCTCTGGAAAAAGGGTAGCATTTATTTTCTGTAAGCTATCATGTATTCTTATGGTGACATGTGTATGGTAAGGCACAATAACAGATGCAAGGGAGTTGCACTCAGTTCCTAAACTGGGAAGGACAACAAGCAGTTGCCTGCAGCTAAAAACAAAGATGTGTAGGTACCTGTCAGGGAGAGTCCTTAACAGATGTTTCAAAGCTGTATGTAACATTTTGGTAGTGCGGAGAACATGCTGGCAAGTGCTCCAGGAGGAATTTATGGAATAAGGAACTTGAGTGCAAGCATCTGTGCAGTGCTTTGCCAGCGATGAGCTGCTGCTGCTGCTGCTGGGAGATACAGCAAGGAGATACCAGGAGCTCCTCTGTAGTGCATCAGCGTTTTCTGTGTGCACCTCAGGTATAAAAGTGGAGGAACTGCTGAGAACTCATTAGCCTTTTTCAATGCTGTGCAGAAGGAAAGTGATCTGGGGTTTCCTACTGAAAGGACATTTGGGTATAAAATTCTACCTGAATGCTTTCACTCAGTGCTAAAAGCAATGCAAAAACTGAGGGAGATTACTAGTGACTAGGACTCCCTCTCACTGATTTTTTTCAGTTTGGTTACACTTCAAATTCAGTTATTCTTGCTATTTGACCTATATATGACGTTTATGACTTGAAAAAGTTATTGCTTTTTCATTTGTTTAAGTATCTTAAAAAATGATGGAAAAAAAAGAAACCAGAAGTTGGCTGAGGAGGCTGAGAAACCAGTGAAATAGCTGCATTGTGTCTGAGCTGACAATGAGAAGTTTGCCAGAAGCTGAGACTGCAGTCATCTTGAAGGGCACTGAGAAATCCTCCAGTTTGTGTTAGAGGGGAGGTTATGGGTTTGACTTCTGCAGACCTATAATCAGTTTTGCTTTTTTGTGAGGTTCCTTTGCCTCAAGATTTTGGTTGTCTATTTTAACATCACAGTTTGGTTTTGGTCCTTTTAATTTATCTCTATCCCCTCCCATCATGCTTTATTACAGCTTCACAGTGAGATCTGTGCACATGCAATCTTTAATTTTACATCAGCTTTCCATGGAAAATAATTTTGGAGTTGCAAAGCTAAGCATCTAGAATTGGAGAACGTAAGATTAAATCAACAAATCCTTCAAGAATGAGAATCTCGTTCTGCTGTCCCTGTTTACTCTCTAGATCTTTCACTTTTAAATTGTATGTGAAGCATGCGGGAAAAGATGTGCATCCCTGTGGAGCTGCACTGAGTCATTGTCAAAGAACACTGTGCACAGGTCTCTCAAAAACTTCACGTCTATTTTTGCATGGGGGCAATAAGCATCACAAAATGTAAATGTGAGAAAATACATCATTCAGATGTATAGGGAGTCACATATTTCTTTTTGGGAAGTGCAAGAAAGCTTGCTTGGAAGTTCTGGGAGAGGTAAAACACCTCTCTGCAGTGGTTGCAAAGATGTTATGCAGCAACATATGCAGTGTTTCTGGCACAGAGTGGTTTCTGTGGGGCTGGGACATGCTGCAGTGTGATGCTTCATCTTTCAGCATAACTAGTACCAGCTTTCTCAGCTGCTACAGGTGTGTTTTACTTACAGACTTGAATTTGTTGGGAAACTAAGCTAGAATGAGAAATTGAGGCAGAATATGTTAAAGGAAACTGTTCCGTCTGTGAGGATAGGGGCTCAGAAAGCTGTACAGGTACTTTCATAAATACACCTTAAGTGTGAACCTTATCCCGCAGAAGAAGAACAATGAATGCATTTACAAATTTAATAAGATATGTAGAATATATTTCAAATTGTATTTAATAAATTGTTGGTATGATCTGTAGAATTTTGAAACTGAGACAAAAGCCCTAAAAGATGGTATGTTTAAATACTACAGTGTTGGTGCATTTCTATCTTAAAATCAATATAAACACTCCTGAAGTAAGAAAACAGCTCACTTTGATGTTCAGGAATCTATCTGTGAGGTAGTAGCATACAAATAAACACAAGTAAAAGATAATCTCAGGCTAACAAGGGCCAGACAGGGCAAGAATGGTTTACGATGCCATAATACACCATATATTTGCACCAGAGCATTGATCCTTGTGTGATACCTTGTGCTGACTCCATTCCTCATGTTGCAGAAGTCTAAATAATTTGTGGGTTCACTGGCTGTCTTTCTCAAGCTTTTTTCTTTTGTGTGTGTGTGTGCCAATATAACTCTACTAGCTTAATTTGAGGTGTTTCTGATGTATGAGAACAAGGAAAGATTTTATTCTGAGGGTATTGAAAAAATAATTGAAAATTCTGTAATAGG